CACTCCTCCTACACCTACCCTCACACGAAAACACACATGCCCTGCTGCTACACCTACACGCACACACACACACACTGCTGCTACACACACACACACACACACACACCCTGCCGCTACACCTACACACACACACACACACTGCTGCTACACCTACACTCACACGAAAACACACATGCCCTGCTGCTACACCTACACGCACACACATACACATACCCACCCACCCTGCTGCTACATCTACACACACACCCTGCTGCTACACCTACACACACACACACACAGGCATCTCTGTTAATGCTCTTCACTGCTGACCCGCTGCCCTCTCTTCGATTCTCGTAGGAAACCCTCCTCCCCACCACACTAATGAAGAATCTGATGCTTTGCTGCCCGGCCTGTGTCCCCCCTTATCCCCCCTTCCTGCCTGTTTTTCTTCCACTTTGCACAGGTGTAAAGCAGCAGCCATGAGAGAGTGTGAGGCTCTGAACACATCTCCCGACTCACCCTGCTCCACCAGCTCCCAGGACTGGCCCCAGGGCTTCCTGGCCTTCCCAGAGCAGCTCAGACCAGCTAGGGGACCAGAACCCCGGCCCCAGCCCCACACACTACCACTGAGCTAGCAAATCAGAACCCCCACCACCACCAACAACCCAATGGGCCAGCACCACCCCTACCCCACCAACAACAACCCAACGGGACAGCACCACCCTTCCTACTCCAACAACAACCCAACAGGACAGCACCACCCTTCCTCCCCCATCAACAACCCAATGGGCCAACACCACCCCTCCCCCACCAACAACAACCCAACGGGAGAGCACCACCCTTCCTCCCCCATCAACAACCCAATGGGCCAGCACCACCCCTACCCCACCAACAATGCAATGGGCCAATACTGCCCCTCCCCGTCAACAACCCACTGGGCCAGCACCACCTCTCCCTCACCAACAACAACCCAACGGGAGAGCACCACCCTTCCTCCCCCATCAACAACCCAATGGGCCAGCACCACCCTTCCTCCCCCACCAACAACCCACTGGGCCAGCACCACCTCTCCCTCACCAACAGCAACCCAACGGGAGAGCACCACCCTTCCTCCCCCATCAACAACCCAATGGGCCAGCCCCACCTCTCCCCCAGCAACAATGCAATGGGCCAATACTGCCCCTCCCCGTCAACAACCCACTGGGCCAGCACCACCTCTCCCTCACCAACAGCAACCCAACGGGAGAGCACCACCCTTCCTCCCCCATCAACAACCCAATGGGCCAGCCCCACCTCTCCCCCAGCAACAATGCAATGGGCCAATACTGCCCCTCCCCGTCAACAACCCACTGGGCCAGCACCACCTCTCCCTCACCAACAGCAACCCAACGGGAGAGCACCACCCTTCCTCCCCCATCAACAACCCAATGGGCCAGCCCCACCTCTCCCCCAGCAACAATGCAATGGGCCAATACTGCCCCTCCCCGTCAACAACCCACTGGGCCAGCACCACCTCTCCCTCACCAACAGCAACCCAACGGGAGAGCACCACCCTTCCTCCCCCATCAACAACCCAATGGGCCAGCCCCACCTCTCCCCCAGCAACAATGCAATGGGCCAATACTGCCCCTCCCCGTCAACAACCCACTGGGCCAGCACCACCTCTCCCTCACCAACAGCAACCCAACGGGAGAGCACCACCCTTCCTCCCCCATCAACAACCCAATGGGCCAGCCCCACCTCTCCCCCAGCAACAATGCAATGGGCCAATACTGCCCCTCCCCGTCAACAACCCACTGGGCCAGCACCACCTCTCCCTCACCAACAGCAACCCAACGGGAGAGCACCACCCTTCCTCCCCCATCAACAACCCAATGGGCCAGCCCCACCTCTCCCCCAGCAACAATGCAATGGGCCAATACTGCCCCTCCCCGTCAACAACCCACTGGGCCAGCACCACCTCTCCCTCACCAACAGCAACCCAACGGGAGAGCACCACCCTTCCTCCCCCATCAACAACCCAATGGGCCAGCCCCACCTCTCCCCCAGCAACAATGCAATGGGCCAACACCACCCCTTTTCACCAACAACCCAACGGGACAGCACCACCCTTCCTCCCTGTCAACCACCCAATGGGCCAGCACCACCCCTCCCCCAGCAACAATCCAATGGGACAGGACCACTCCTCCCGCACCAACAACGCAATGGGCCAACACCACCCCTGCCCCCGCCACCCACAACCCAATGAACCCGAACAGCCTCCCCCCCACACCACTACTGAGCAAACTCACTGGAACGCTCCTATGGGGCTACATGGGGGGGACCTCCCCACGCAACGGACCAGGCCCCCCGGCGGGACGCTTACCCTCTGTCAGCCCGAGGTGTATGCTCCAGTAGATCTGCAGGCACTGCAGCTCCTTCTTCATGCCCCGCTTGCAGCGGCAGTCGTAGAGGGGGCTCTCCTGCAGCACCTCCAGGGCCGCCTGGCACTCCTTGTTGGCCAGCATGGTGTTCCTGTCCCGGCCGGCCAGGCACTGGCGCAGGGTGCGGTACCGGGAGCTGCAGCTGGGGTCGGCGGCGCACAGCTCGCTGGCCCGCACACAGTCCACGGGGGCACGCCAGCCAGGAGGGGTCTGGCCAGAAGCCAGGGAATGGAGGATCTGGTCTGGGGAGGGGGAGGAAAGAAAGGCCAGAGCATGGTGAGTGAGGCTAGCCAAGGCTCTGCCCTTCGCCAGTGCTTCAGGCCCACAACTCGCCCCCCACCCAGGCAGCGGCCCGCTCTGCCTGCCCCCTCCCACGCCTGGGCCTGCCACATGATCCCGACCCACAGCGCCTACTGCTCCCCCAGCCCTGTCCGCACTCCCCTCACAGCGCCGCCAGCACTGGGATCCTGACCAGGAGTCCCTCCCCCACTCCTCCCTCAGCCCTGGGGTCCCTCCTCAGCCCCACATCTCTGCCAGGAGCCCCCCTGGGTCTTCCAGTCCCCTCGGTGCTGCTCTGTTGCACCCTCAGCCATTCCAGTCCTGAACCCCAGGTCAGCTCTGCAGCCCGCCTGGTGTGGGAGGGAGGGAGCAGAAACCTAGCTCTCATTTCTCCACTCCCTTGTAGAGCACTTTACAAACCTTAACAGATCGATCCGGACAGCCCTCAATGACCCACATGGTCCGAGTGGGGAAACTGAGGCATCGCACTATGGAGCGATTTGTGCAAAGTCATGCAGCAAATTAGGAGCAGAGAGGGGACTAGAAACTTGAAATCTTAGACAATTAGGAGACCTCGGGAGATCAACAAGTCCAACCCCCTCATCGAGTCCAACGCCCTTGCTCGCCCCATCAGCTGCGCTGGCCACTAGGTAACATTGCTGTACACATATAAAGTCGTGTGTGGGTTATCGGTGATGCCATCGAAATGTGTTTCCTCTCTGCTCAGTCTGAAGTATCTTTACAAGGTAACGAAAATCCTGCCTGTTAAAAAACATGCCAGGCAAAGACCGGTGCTGCCATGCAATAAATCTGGTTTCGCTCTTACGCCAACAGGCCCAGGAAGTTAATTTTTCACACTCCGAAGGAGCTAGGGAACAGCATTCCATGGAGGCCACCAGCAGGTCTGGAACTCCCTGCCTTCAACATCAGCCTCGGCCACACTAGCTAGATGAGTAAGTCCAGCAGCAGGCAGCAGTAGTAAGCTGTTATCCTTAGGGGAGTCGCCAGTCCCTGGGAATCCATCACGCACTGAAACACTGGGAAACATTAGCAAGCCCTCAGAATCACTCATCAGCTTGTTTCCGGGGCTGCAGTGTTGGTCCCTGACCAGCCTCCATAGAGGGTGCAGAGGAGGAGGAGCAGAGCGAGTCTCCCCCACTGAGAGAAAAGCCCAGCTCACAAACCTGCAGTACGTCATCTCTCGGCAAACACCAGAGCAGAACGCCCACACCTCTCAAGCATCCAGCTCCTGCTGGACTCTTCAGCCCCGTCCTCCTGGTTATAAGAGTTTTACTCATCCACTTAGGGGACAGGAACAACCCCATGTGACTTAGGCAGCCAATCCGCACCACGGCTCAGAAACTGAGGGCCGTCCCAGTGGGGGAAGTGCTGCCAATCCATTGGATAACAAACCCCAGTGACTCCTGGTTCACGCCCAGGGGTGCCCCAGTGGCAGGGGCACAGAACCCAGGAGCTGTGTCTAGACTGGCAAGTTTTTCTGCAAAAGCAGCCGCTTTTACGCAAAAACTTACCAGCTGTCTACACTGGCCACTTGATTTTGCGCAAAAGCACTGACGTTCTACTGTCTGAAATCGGTGCTTCTTGCGCAACTGCTTCGACGTTCCCATTCGGGCAAAAGCCCTTTTCCGGAAATGTTTTTGCGCAAGAGGGCCAGTGTAGACCGCTAAAAACTGTTTTGTGCAAAAAAGCCCCGATGGCGAAAATGGCGATCGGGGCTTTCTTGCGCAAAATCGTGTCTAGATTGGCACGGATGCTTTTCCACAAAAAGTGCTTTTGCGGAAAAGCGTTCATGCCAATCTAGATGCTTTTTCCCGCAAATGCTTTTAATGGGAAAACTTTAATGGGAAAACTTCTTTCGAAAGAAGCCTGCAGTCTAGACATAGCCTTAGGGACTGTCGCTTACCATCTGCACGTACAGCACCTTGCACAATGAGATCCAAAGCTTGACGCAAACTTCTAAGTCCTACTGTAATGCCGATAATAGTAATAAATAATCTATCCTGCTGCAGTTTATGGCTATGTCCCCAGTCTGTAAACAGCCAGCAACTGAGGCTGAGCTCAAGCACCCTAAGAGGACAAGATGTTAAGCAAATCCCACAGATAGGGCCCTGCAGATCAAGAGCTATCTGCTTTATATCCATGGGTAGCCACAGATGTGGACGCAGATATCCGCAGCATATTTTTCTGTAGACAGATGTAGACAGGGATGCAAATTTTGTATCTGTGCAGGGCTCTACCCATGGATATGGTGGGAATTTGTTCCTCATATTCTAGGATCAATGAGTCAATGTTAGACAGACCCCAGAATTCCTGACTCCCCAGTCGTCTGAGCCCAACCGGCTAAATCACACCACTTTTCCCATTCAAGCTCTGATCCTGAATTCCTTCCTTGCTGCAAAGCCCCGGGGACTTTGATGCAGCATGATGGCGGAAGACTTGCTGTTTAATTCCAAACTCAACAGGGATCCTGGCTGTAAACCAGCCCTAGTACAGCGAGAGCCCAATACCCTGTTCTGCAAATCAGAAGTGACTCTGGATTTGCAGCAGTGTCCTAGAACAGGGGGTGGCCTGCACCGGACAGCAGTGGGGGGAAGAGGGAGGAGTTCATCTGCCCAAAAGAAATGCCTCAAAAAGCAGAACATTTAATAAAAAAAAATTAACGTTGGAGGCAGCCTCTGCTGGGGATGCTGGACTCATGGAAGATCCTGAGCCGGCAGTTTTCATGCAAACAGGAGAGGGGCCATGAGCAGTTCTCCCTCCCCTACTAAGACCTGGACTACAGCCCAGAGGCAGCACCGCCTTCTCCTTCCTGCAAACGCAAGTTCGTTTTCTAAAAGGCAGCTGAAGTCTGGAGTTCTCTGCCCCAGGAGCTGCCAGCAGCCTCCGCCTCCTCTGGCATGCTGGGGTAAGATGGGCAGGTAATATGCAGCGCCTGGATCTCCTCCCACTCACCCTACGCAGGAGCCGGTTGGGTTCCCAGTAGGAATCAGCTGAGGCGGGTATAGAACCAGGCTTGCTCAGGATCACTGTTTGTAACTGACGAGTCCATTTGGGACTCAGGCTGGCTACACCGGGAAGGTTTGGCGATAAAAGTGCTGTCGACATGCTAAAGTGAAAACCGGTCAAAACGGGATTTTCCGCCTTCCATTGTCAACATTTATGGCCACATTGGTAGCACCCTGGTGACAGACAGAGCAAAGCATTGTGGGGAAGCTTCCAGCAGGGCAGTGTTGTGGGAAGGGAGAGCTGATCCCTGTGCTTCTTGGGATTCCCTGGTAGCTCTAGAAGCTCTCCATGCTGAGGCATTGCAAGCAGCACTGCAGTCTCTCCAGCCCTCCCCTGGCAGCAGCAGCCTGCCTGCCCCTGTGTTCCTAGCAAGGCAGAACAGGAGCAGTCCAATGATTTGCTCTTTGTTCCCCAAACAATGCAGCTCACTCAGCTGTCAGACACTTCCCAGCGTTTTGAAAGTGGAGGAACACAGGCCTGCAGGGCATCAGAGATCACAGAACACTGAGCAGAGCCATCAGCGCAGGCATGGGGAGATACTGGTGGAAGCCAGTTCTCCCCACAAAATAAACAGCAGAGTCCACACTGGCTTTGTCGACAATAAAGGGAAGGGAAAAGATAAAAGTCTCTTTCAGGGGTAGAAGTTTTGTGTCACCAAAACTGGGTGTTTTCCCAACAAAAGTCCCATTGCAGGCTACACGCTCTTACTGTTTTGTCCCCCAAAGGCAGTTCTTGGTGACAAAACCTGCCAGTGTAGACAAAGCCTTAGGAGCAGCTCCCCTCCCCACATTCAAGAGCATGCAGGGGCTCTTGTCTCCAGCTAGAGCACTGAGCACGGCCTGACTCCCACAGCCCCTCTCCTTCAACTTCAGGCCACGCAAGGGCCCTGATGGAACCAGGCCTTCCTGCATTCCCCGGCTTCTCTTCCTGCCTGGCTGAGTCATGCCGTGACCTGTCTCAGCTCCACGTCACTAGTGGGGGAAAGCATCCAACACCCTCTCGCTCTGAAGAGATTTGGAACCTGGCTCTGCTTCCAAGCCTTGCGGTTGTTCCTGCTTTGGGCAGAGGGTTGGACTCGATGACTTCCTGAGGTCTCTGCCAACCCTAGGATTCTACGAGCTGGGTAACCCGCATGGCCCCCTCGTAGCTGGGCCACATAGAAGGTAAAAGTCTACTCCTGCTGCCAGCTAGCGAGCTGCTCTTACAGCTCCAGCTGGCAGCATCCTGGCAAGTTACAACCCCGCTGAGAGCCTGTGCCCTGGGTTGTTCTGTTTGGATCAAAGTGCATGCCTGGCGCTCCCACCCAAGTCCACCAAGAATCCAGCAGCCTTGGAAGGTCGGTGTCTGCTCCAGCTAGGTGACGTCCTTCCCGGCTTACGTAGATACGCCCACGCTAGCTCTGGGTGTATCTAGCAGTCCGGCCACCTCAGCCCTTCTAGCTAACCTGGGAATTTCGCCTCTCCACTGCATGTTACCGAGGGGATGTGCGATCATTTCCCACCACAATGACATAGGTTTCCCCCAAAGGAACAAACCTTGCCTGTTCCAAGAAGCAGCCCAGATGCGCCCGGCTGCTTTTCCAGAGTGCTCACATTCGCAGGCACTGGGAAGCTACAGAGATATGTAATTAGCCAATAAGGCTCGAGGTCCGACGCAGCCCATTTGAGGCGCTAATAAAAACCAGTAAAGACTCTGCAAAACGCAAGCAGGCAGCGGGGGTGGAAACCAAAGGAAACATTTGCACAAAAGAGAATCACGCAGGGACCGTCCCCCCGTCTCTTGTCCCATGGCGGAGCGCTCCCCAAAGCTCTGCTCTACCTCCTCTCCTGCTCCCAGCCTCCCCTTCATCCAGCCAGCTCCCAACCATCTTCCCCAGCAGCGCCAGTTCTGGTTTGCTGTGCACCCTGGACTCAAGACGGACCAGCAGTCAGCAGAA